CCCCCCAAGGAATTAACACCCCAAGACTAGACAGTAATCTCGTTTATGGGCGGTGAGAAAGCTATGACCCGTGTAAATCTAATTCCGTTTAAACGCATCAAACCCATGCGGGTTTGTCCCCAAGGTACGGAATGTCGCTAACTAAAAAAGGCCAACCAAGCGAATCGAGCCAAGCTATTACAGCAACGACTGGTGTTCCTAACCCTAACATAGTGACAATAACGAATATATTTAACAGAGCGCAAACACAACACTACAGACCAAAAAGGTACAATTCCACCTGCAATCTGACAGTCTCAAATCGTTCAGCAGTTTCTTCCCGACCACTCACAAGTTGAGCCTGGAAGCTATTCCAGAAAGAACTTCCCAAAACCGCCGTACGAACGGACCCTTTCACAAACGGGCCAGTAATAATCCGGAAAAACGCTTGCCAAACCTACGTATTACCGTAGCGGGCTGCTAGGCAAACGTCGTATGAGCCGTTGACTTAGTCTCATTATTAAAACAAGAAAGGAAGAATCGCGGTGGCTCAGAGAAAAAAAAAAGAAAGGAAAAAGGGAAAGAAGGAAAAAAGGGAAAAGAAAGGGCAAAAAGAAAGAAGGATGATTGGAATCGAAGTCGGTACAACCGTATAGAACGAAAGAGTTATTGACGACAACAACGTCTGAGAAAAATGCCGTACAGGATACCCGATCACTAATAAAAATCAGGAGGCGACTTCGCGGTCAGGTCAAAAGTCGATTTCGCAAACCAAATATGGATCAATCGAAATGAAAGTCCTGCGAAAAATGCAAAGAAAGCCCAAAAGATCAAAAACGGATTGAAGTATGGGAGAAGACCTTGATCTCAAGTCAAAGGCGACACCGTCAGTGATCGGGTCATAGCGGTCTCACACAACAAAAAAGTAAAACCCTTATTTACAGCTTGTTTCTGAACTGGAAACCGTTACCAAAACGGAAGCCCAACTACCCTGATAGGGGAAAGAGGCGGACAGAAACAAGGGGGCCACAATCCCGCGATAGAATATACTGGTATTCTACCTTTCCGCATAAATAAATAAGAGTAAACGACAGGAGAATGTAATACGGTTTTGCTGCAGTTTTTTCCGCAGTTATCCCGTTCTCGGGGGCAGGTCGCCCACGTGCAGGTTACATACGGGGCTGAACCGTCGTGCCGACTGGAGGTTTTGAAAGTCGCCCCAGGAACGGGGGGCGAGAACAAGGAGCGGACCAAAAAAAAAAAAAAACATGGCTGTTCGAAACTTGCAAAAGTACATTACAAAGGCAACGCCGCCCAAGCAAGTCATCACGAGTGCCCAGGAGGAGAAAATAACAACTCTTATTTGAACTGACGGTGTGTGTTTCTTGAGAAAAGATGAATGAAATCCATCCGCTCTTCAATAGCCAAGATGCTACACAGAGAAGCAGGAACCGCAGAACGAGATTCCGTTTGTCGAAAGAAACAGCTTACTTAATAAGGCTACGCGACCATGTTGCAAGAAGTTTTCTCGAAGAGGGGAAGATGGCGGCGTGTTTTGCTTTACTCTGGGTGCCCGCGTTACTGGACGAGACGGGCGAGCGGTGATTTTTCGATGCTGCGCTTCGCTGTACAAACCTCCCCTCGTTCAGCAGAGCGAAGGGGAGGTCACGGGGTTTGGATACGGGGCGTGTGCTCACCTTGTCGGTCGCGTCAGTAGCTAGTAAGGCACGACATTAATCTCAATTGATATTACACATACAGAAACGCGCACCATCGCTGTTTTGATGTAACCTGCACGCAAAACTTGGCGATTTTTGGCCATTCAAGCGTTCGCGCTCGTCAATTCCCGCATCAGGTCCGAGTGGCTTGCGTAGGTTGGTAAAGGCGATGTTGACGCGAGAAATGTGAACGCGTTATCCGCCCAAGGTTAGACAATTTGGATCCCTGCAAGAGAGGTGTATCAAATGAGGATCGATATTCGATATCTGAAAACCCGGGCGGTGATGGCCCTATTGCTGCGCTTGTCGCGGTTTCCACGGTTTTCGTGATCGCTTGTGGCGGCACTGAAACCGTGATCCAGACCGGCGTCCAGTGTTGAAAAGCAGTGGGTGTGGTGTGAGAGGAGGTCCCGGGCGAAACCGTCGTATCATAACCGTGCGTGTCGAGAAGGAAGTGGTTAGGGAGGTTGAGAAAGAGGTCGAGAAGATCGTAATCGCGACCGCGACGCCAATAGCGATGGCGATGATGGAGGCTCCGCAAACGCAGAGCGCGGCGAACACAGCAGAGATGGCGGTTCAAAACCGTGTCGGTTTGACGTTGACCGGTCTGAACAGCACAGGTGCACCGGACGGACCATGGAGCAGTGCGAGGGATGTCTATTCAGCCCGGTGGTCGTCGGGTCGAACTAGTGAAAAACCCGGTATTGGCAGAGACGTGGACTGTTGCAGACGACTGGAGCAAGGTAACGGTCAAGGTGAAGGAAGGTGTGCAGTTCCACCGAGGTTGGGGCGAGATGACGGCAGATGACTTGGTTTGGAGCTTCAACGACTTGATTGCGCCGGAGAGCGTACACAACCAGTCGGGCGACTACGCCGCAGTCTTCGAGCACATGCTGAAGATCGATGACTACACGGTCGAAGTTCCGCTCAAGGGACCTAACGTCGTTTGGAACCAGGCGTACTTCAAAACAACCAATTTGCAGAGAACGCAACGGGACGTTCAGCAACGAGTGGCTTTCTTGATGTGGAACGGTCGCGAACTGAGGCGAATGAGAACGTATCGAGAACTGCCCTTCAACATGTCAAGGATTCATATCCTAAGAACATCGTTCGGTTGGAATCGAACCCTGAACATCACATTCAACCGGCGTACATGCCTTTCCTGAATGTGACGCTGTTTCCGTGGAGTCGAACACCGTATTGGCAATGCTACGCAACGGTCAGACTGACATTGCCGACGTATCGCTGAAGGCAATTCGTGGTTTGCTCGAGGAAGGTTTCAAGATGTCGGACAGCGGTAAGGCCGCGCAGGAAGGCATCTTTTTTGCCGGCAATTACTGGGAGCAGTATGACCACAACTGCTCGGAGGGCAGGAGTTCGGTCTCTTGCCCAGACATCACCTTAGGTGAACCCCAGCTGGTGGAGGTCGAACGCACTGGTTACCAACCGACGGAAGATTTCCCGTGGATCGGCGAGTACGCACTGACGAGAAAGATAACATGGAACGCTCGGAAGGTGGCGGAAACGGCGATGTCGAATTGCGATGACAGGAGAACGATCACCGATGTGAATCGTGGATGTTTTCTCGCTGGTTGGTGCAACTTGAAATAGCGTTCTCGATCAGTCACCAAGAAAGGAATGGGATGACAAGTGGAACATCGAGTACGACCCGGATGAATCGATGGCACGATTCTGGAATGAAGCAGGTATATCGCGGTAGCATCACTATGGGTATCACGGTTCCAAGTTGACTAACGATCCGCAGACGCAACAACGTTGGCGGTGCGACATGTAACCAAAAGGCTGCGAGATATCAGGCTGCTATAGTGCGATGTTGTGACAGTTTTGGTATCCCACCAAGCTTAGGAGAGACACTAGATACAACAGGTCCTGGCTGCCAACGCACTGTCGTTGACCTTAAATCACAGAACCATGCCACAGTTCCTGAAGTGCATGATGTAAAGGGACCGATGCTCGCAGACTACTCAGATTCCTTGGGACTTCCCGAAGGGTGTCGTGTTCACACCACGGTTTGTAATCACTAAGGTTTTTCAAAATCTTTGCCATGGAGATATTAAAAATACCGTTAATTGTTCTTGAGAACCACCTGAAGACTTCGGGCGAGTTGGACAAGGCGCAACGGATTGCGAACAACACCGAGTTGCTCGAGTACTACCGCCACTGGCGATTGAACTCAGGCATCGCGGCGATGTCCCCACCACGCGATGGAATTTTGGAACACCGAACTCGATCTAGTCGAAAATGGGAGATGATAGTCCAATGCAATCGCGGGCACGCACGCGTGGTCGCTGAGCACTATGATCAACCCAATAGCCCATAGGCTTAAGCCCCGAACAGATAGTGTCGTTTCGGTCTGCTCCCACTAAGTCTTCGTAAAACCCTTTCGGAATTGCGGTAGTAGAAACCGTTACCGTTTAAGCGAGGATAATTTCAAGTCGAAGAAGTGAGATCGCCACATGAGAAGGTATCTGATACGGCGTATTCTGGCTTCAGTGGTGACGGTAATCGGCGCGACGTTTGTGGTTTTCGCTTTGTCTCGGGTTGCCGGCGATCCGTTATTGCTCTATGCCAGAAACCCGTATTGGCTATTTTCGGACGCCATAGAACAGATTTCATAAGGCGCTTGAGAAGCATCTGGGTTTGGACAAACCGTTTCATACATCCAGTAATCCTGGTTTGTGTGATAACAAAAACCTATTTTTCAAGGGTACCTTGGGTCGAATCGTTGGCTGTGCGGAGGTTGACGAAGAGTAGCCATCTCGAAAGGTGTGGGGCAGACGGTTGCAGTTGCGCAGATTGCGGGATGGCTAGCTGGCAACGTTGTCGCCACTCGCGGTCTAGGCGGTCAAAAAAGATGGGATGATGTAAAGAATCGCGGTCTATACGCAGGGAACACGATTTGGATTTGGTCGGGAGGTTCGTCGCGCTGTTACTGAAAAGTTTCTGGGCAGGAAAGAGGCGATACCCAACTTCTGGCTCGGCATCGTGATGGTTTCTGCTGTTCTCAGTCTGGCAGGAGTGGCTTCCGAGCGGATTGGAAGGAGAGGGATTGGGTCTGCAGTACTTCATAATGCCGGCGATCGTTGTCGGGACGAGTTCGATGGCGGGGTATCTGCGGATTACGAGATCGTCGATGCTGGAGGTGTTGGATTCGGAGTTCATCAGGTTGGCGCGGGCTAAGGGAAACAAACCCGAATGCAGTGATTTGGAAACATGCGCTGAGGAACTCGCTAATACAACCGATCACGTTATCGACGCTATTGCTCGCTGGTTTGCTGAACGGAACGTTGGTTGCGGAAGCGGTTTTCGCTTGGCCGGGTCTGGGTCGGACGATGCTTGAGGCGGTCAACAGCAATGACTTTCCGGTTTTGACCGGAGGGGTGCTGGTGTTTGTGATCATTTACGTATTGTTCAGTTTGGCCGCCGATCTGCTTTACATCCTGATCGACCCACGAATTCGATACACGTAGAGCAATAGCATGGCAACCGTTTCTACATACAACCGATCCGCTTCGACGGATTCGATGCCGGGTCGTCGCACGTTGCTCGGACGTGGTTATAGCTTCATCCGGCGTTGGCCGGTGTTGCCTGGCATCGTTCTAGTCACACTGATTTTGAGCGCGGCTTTGGCACCATGGATCGCGCCGCAAGAGCCGAACATTCAGGCGCTGCGCGATCGGAATGCGCCGCCGATTTGGGTTTCTGACGACAGGGAGTTCACACAGAGTTATTTGTTGGGTGCGGATCAAGTCGGGCGCGACGTATTGAGTCGGATCATTTACGGTGCGCGGATCTCGTTGGCTGTGGCCGGTGTTGCGCTGTTGAGCGGGCTGCTTGTGGGCGTGACGTTGGGATTGGTGGCGGCTTGGTATGGCGGTTTAATAGATGAGGTGATCGCGCGGGCGGTTGACATTTGGCACGCGCTGCCCTTCTTGTTGGTTGCGATCGTTGTTGTCACTTTGTTTGGAGGGAGTCTGACGGTTCTGATGGGTGTTTTGGCGATGGTGTCGTGGGCTGGTTTTGTGAGAAATGTTCGAGCCGATGTGTTGACGCTGCGGGAACGCGAGTACGTTCAGATGGCGAGAGTGTGTGGGGCGTCGACGCCGCGGGTGATTGTCAGGCATATTTTGCCGGGTGTGATTCCGACGATCATGGTAATCGCGACGCTGGCGGTTGGTGGTTTGATTTTGACGGAGGCGACGTTAAGTTTCCTTGGCGCGGGGATTCCGGCGCCGACGCCTTCGTGGGGGTTGATGGTTTCCGAGGGGCGGGAGTATTTGACTACGGCTTGGTGGTCTTCGTTCTTCCCGGGTTTGGCGATTTTCTTGGTTGTGATGTCTTTGAATTTCGTGGGCGATTGGATACGGGATTTCACGGATCCGCGGCTGAGGCAGCTCAATTGATGGGTTACGAATTCGTGCATCGATGGTTTGGCGGGGTTACACTTTGTGATTAAGTTTGGCTGGTGCCGTGAACGATAGGAGATTCTTGGATCATGACTCTGATTAGGTCTAAGCAAGATGTGGCTTTGATCGCTCACCTTTTGCGGCGCGCTGGGTGTTCGGGGCGACGCCGGATGAGTTGGATCATGCGGTGGCGGTTGGGTATGATGCGACGCTGGAGTCGCTGTTGAATCCGGTCGAAGATATCGAGTTGCCGTTGGATCTAATACGTCGGTATTTCGTCGATCAGTCGGACCTTCGGAATCAACAGGCGTGTGCGGCGCATTGGATGTATCAGCTGGTTTACACTCAGGGCGCCGTTGAGGGAGAAGATGTGTTTGTTTGGCACCGGTGTTCGCGACGGGTGCGCACAAGCTGATCCAAGGTCGGGTTGTGCTGAATCAGATCGATATGTTCCGGGAATATGGTTTTGGGCGGTTCGATGAGTTGCTGTTGCAGCTGTCGAAAGACCCGGCGATGCTGATGTGGCTGGACAATCAGGACAATCACGCGGACTCAATCAACGAGAACTATGGGCGAGAGATCCTCGAGTTGTTTGCGATGGGCGTGGGGAACTACACGGAGGAGGACATCAAGGAGTGTGCGCGGGCGTTCACAGGTTGGCGAGTGGTGAATCCGGACTACATGTCGATCAAGATGCGGAACAACACGGCTCGTCCTTACGGGTACATATCGTGGCAGTTCGAGTATGACGACGATGACCACGACCACTCCGAGAAGACCCTGCTTGGAGAGTCGGGCGATCTGAACGGTGGGGATGCGGTGGCGATAATACTGTCGGCAGGATGCGACGCCTCGGTTTATCGCTAGGCACCTTATCACTTCTTTGTTGCCGACGAGGTGCCGGTCCCGCAGTGGCCGCATGTTCCGCCGAAGGATCCTGAAGCGATCCAGGCGATGGTGGACGCGTATTTTGACTCGGAATTCAGCGTGACGGCGATGCTGCGGGCGTTGTTTACTTCGGATTTCTTCAAGTCGGAGTCGGCTCGGTATGCGCGGATCAAGAGTCCAGCGGAGATGGTTGTGGGCACGCTGCGGTTGGCTGGCGGACTTGAGGTGCCGTCTTCGGATGCGTATACAGCAGCGGCGACGTGCGCGAATATGGGGCAATCGTTGTTGAACCCGCCGAGTGTTGATGGATGGCAAGGTGGCGAGGAGTGGATCAACACGGGCGCGTACGTGCAGACGTGTGAACTTTGCGAGCAAGACGATGGAGACCCGGACAAGCCGGGGATTCGCTCGATCATCGAACGGGTCAGGATGTCGGCAGGCGGCGTTGGGGAATTGACGGCGGAGGAGTTGGTTGACCGATGTCTGGAGATATTGGGTCCGTTGGAGACGTCGGCGTCGACTCGGCAGGGACTGATCACCTTTGCCGCCAAGCATGGGGATGTCAGTTTCGCCGACGATGAAGCCGTGTCGAATGCTGAACAGGCGATAGTGTCCGTGATTCAGTTAATCGTTGCGACTCAGGAATATCAGACGGTTTAGGAGTGGCGAATGGTAACTGCAACAAAGTTCCAGGTACGGTACCGAGATACGATCGGGTTCAATGCCGACCAAGGGGGTCGGGGATTCCATCTACCCACGGACATGGTTGTGCGGGATGATGGGGTGATCTTCGTGGTGAGTCGCAGCAACACAGTGGCGTTGAACATCGTTGGCATCCAGAAGGTAACGCTTGACCACGATTCTTGGGTCAGATCGGCGGCTACGGCCGCGACATGGGCGACATGATGGGGCCCCACTGCCCTAGCGTTGGATGCGGATGAGAACCTCTATTTGGCGGACGATGTGTTGCAGCGGATCACGGTTTACAACCGCGATGGTGATCCGAAGTCGATGTGGGGCACGGTTGGTGATGGAGATGGTGAGTTTGACGGTCCGTCGGACATGGTCTTCGATGCGGATGACAACATGCTGCTGGTGGACCACAGAAACCATCGCATCCAAAAGTTGACCAAGGATGGTGAGTTCATCGCCACGTGGGGCAAATTGGGCGATGGCGAGTGGTGAGTTCAATTTGCCATGGGGAATCGCGTTGGATCCGGAAGGGCAATGTATGTGTTGCGGATTGGCGCAACGACCGGATTCAGCGGTTCACTCCTGATGGTGAGTTCATGGCGG